CAAAATAGAATAGAACAGAATTCATTCATTCATTCATTCATTCATTCATTCATTCATTCATTCATTCATTCATTCATTCATTCATTCATTCATTCATGTATGTTTAGCCTCTACTGATGCAATCCATAGAAGAATACAGGACAAAATGAATAATATAAAGAATAATCCTTGTACAAGTAGTTAGGGAAAAAAACCTAGCCATACATTTCCATATGTATGTCATATTCTGTGAAACCTGTACATTACTTTGGTGCAGGGGTGGGTTGCTAATCCCGTTACAACCGGTTCGGTTGGAACGGGGCCGGCGGCATCCTCGTGCATGCGCGCAGTTCACGCATGCGTCTTAGCGCCTGCGCAATGCTCCAGCTGCTCGCGGAGACTCGCGCAGGTGCTGTATGTGCCATCCAGCTGCTCACGGAGAATTGCGCAGGCGTTGTATGTGCCATGCACCTGCGTGGAAGCGCAGAAGCCTTCAAAGACCGGTAAGGAGTGCGGGCGGGCGGGTGGGCCCTTCGCCGTTCCCGGAAGTTACTTACTTCTGGGTTCGCCGACCAACCGGTTTGCGGGGACCGCCGCAAACCGGTTGAAACCCACCCCTGCTCTGGTGTATGATCTTATATCATGTTATATACATATTACACACTACATTGACACCAGGTGAAATTCGTCATATTGATCTATTTGTGGTACTATATCGTCAATGGGTAAAAGCTGTTATTAAAACTGTTTGTCCAGCTGGCTATACTTCTCCGTCTTGTGCCCAACGGTAAAAGTGAAGAGGGACACTGGCCAGGGTGTGAATCATCTGTAAGTATCTTCCTTACTCTGCTGAAACAGCAAGACCTGGCGATGTCATCCAGTGGTGTTAGGGGGCAACCAATGGTTTCTTGTGCTGAATTATACATATATACATACATACCGGTGGTGGATTCCAGCTGGTATGGCCTGGTATGGATGTACCGGTAGTAGCCGGGAGCAGCTGACAGCATACCAGTATGGTGGCCCGTTTGGCCTCCCACCTGCCTGCATTCTATACCTGTTTTTAAAGCAACTGGCCAATTATTCACGCAACACAGCGTGCGGCACCTGCACGACCTCTGGCAAGCAGCTGGGTGTTGCAGGGGTGGTGGAGTGTGTATGCATGATCAGCACATATGCATAACAAGATACCTAGCTCTGTGTGCCAC